AAGCCTCTTCAATTCTTAAAACTCTTCTTTCTTCTGCACATGGGGAGACCAAGAGCTGCACCTTAGACAATTGCTCATGAGCTATTAAAATCCCAGATGCTACTCACCCAAGTAGGGTGTAGAACACTGTCTTTGTGGACTATGTGATGTCAATTGACTGTAGTGTCCCCTGAGACTATGGTCTTGAACCTTTTTTGCCTTCTATATGCTCCACCACATTCATAGTTGTGTTTGCAGGTAAGATAAATACTCATGGACAAATACCTCTTTCAAACTCGTAAATATTTGTCAGCTATAACCTTTTGAGTTGACCTCTGTGTCTTGAATTTAACTGGCCCAGAAGTTCCATTCAGAAGCCACTGTTTTGATTGAACTATTTTTTTTGAAAGTACCTTAACAAGACTTGTTGTTAAGTGTTGTCAAGTCAGTTCTGACTCACAGTGACCAACCCTGTATAGGGTTTCCAAGGAGCAGCTGGTGTAGACTCTGCGTAAAAATCAGTACTAAAGCCTTCCAAGACCATTCTTCCTAAAACAGCAACTTCTACGTGACTCTCTTCCTATACCCTGCTCTATTTATTTATTTATTTTCAGTCCTTTTTCTCCCACCACCTGATAATCTCCCATGGAGCTGTAAATGCCTTGAATCAGGAATTTTGTTTGTTGTTGTATCCATCCCTGATGGGCTAGCACAGTGTAGGCACTTAAATGTTTTCTGAAGGTATAATGAAGATAAGAAGTTGTGCCGGATGCTTGGAGGAATATAAAAACAAATTAGAAAAGTATTCAGCTCTTGAGGATTATAAACTTATGTAACACAATGCTGCCAGGGGAGATAAAACATGTATACAGGTAATTGTACAAAATAGATTCAGATGACACAGAGAACTACAGAAAAACTGCTGGAGTCATTTACAGAAGGTTTATACTTCTAGCTGGTTTCTTAATAATGACATTTAAGCTGGGTATTGGAGTCCTGGTGTGGCACTGTGGGATAAAGCACTAGACCACAAGGTCGTTTTGAACTACAGAGTCGGTGGTTCAAACCTATTAGCTGCCCCTTGGAAACACTTTACAGGGTCTCTATGAGTCGGAACTAATTTGATGGCACTTAACAACAACAAGGAGAAGAAGCTGGGTCTTATTTCAAACTAGGAAAATAGATAAGCTGAGGCTCAGAGGTACGTGCAGGAGGGTGGTAAGTATAAGAAAAGGGTAGTGTCTTAGTTATCTGGTGCTCTACCTCAAGTTCATGAATTTAACAAATAGAAAATTATTTTGTCACAGTTTCGGAGGCTAGGGTAATAGCTCTAGGGGGCGGGGCTTTATCTGTTGGTTCTGAGTGAAGATCCTTTCAGCATGTTTAGTCATGCCGTCCCTTGGAGGTCTCTGTGTCATGGCATCAATCTCCTCCTGGATCTAGGAGGTTCTCTGTGCAGGGACTCTGAGCCCAAAAATGTTCTCTGGTCCCAGTTCTTGCTTCGTGTGGTAGTCAGGTCTCTTCTTCTTAGCTCTTTCTGTATCCTGTATCTCTTTGAGGTGAAAGGTGATGCTGGCTACACCCCAAGGGCACTCCCCTTACATGGGTCAGGCTGGACTGGAGTATGAGTGACAGCCCACCCTAATGTGGTCGTCACATCAGGTTATATGGGAATGACTACATCTTTACATAACTGCTAAATTGCATAACTGCCAAACCACAGAGAACCATGGCCCTGCCAAGTCAACACATATTTTGGGGGGACACAGCTCAATTCATAATAGTGAGGTATTCAATTGGGGTAGAACACACTAGTGAAAAACTAAGAAATTAGGTTAAATCTAGATCGTAGATTTCTAAAATCCAGGTTGAGTTTGGATTGTCTCCTATTTGTTGTTGTTAGGGTCCTGGAGTCAGTTTTGACTCATAGTGACCCTGTATAGGGTTTCCAAGGAGTGACTAGTGGGTTTGAACTACCAACCCTGCAGTTCACACGACTTTGCAGTTTAACATTAGCCCACAACGCCACACCAGGAACCAGGAATAGATAGTTTTTGTTGTTAAGTGCCATCGAGTCAGTTCCGACCCACAGCAACCCTGTGTAGGGTTTACAAGGAGCTGCTGGTGAGCTTGAATCGCCAACCTTGCAGTTCAAACAGCTTTGCGGTCTGACGCATTAACCCACAGAGCCACACCAGGACTCTCAAATATATAGTAGTCGTTGTTAAATGTGTCGTGTGGCACTGTAGGATAAGCACAATATTGTGAACTGCAAGGTCATCAGTTCTTCTGATTGGTTGTTGTAAGTGCCATCAAGTCAATTCCAACTCATAGCAATGCTATATATAGGGTTCCCGACAAGCTGCTCGTAATCCAGTCCAGTGCTTATCCTACAGAGCCACACCAGGACTCCATAAGAGAGACTATAGTAGAATTAATGCATGATACGATAGAAGAGGAGTCCTGAATAAGCACTAGACTGCTAACCACAAGATCAGCAGTTTGAATCCACCAGCCACTCCTTGGAAATCCTATACAGGGTTGCTATGAATCAGACCGACTTGACAGCACTTAACAACAACAGTAGGTGTTCGGTAATTGACAAGCCTTGGAGCCTTGGTGGCACTGTGTTTAGCCACTAGGCTGCTAACCAAAAGGTTGGCAGTTTGAACCCACCAGCTGCTCCATGCAAGAAAGATGTGGCAGTCTGCCTTTAAGGATTGTTGTTAAGTGCTGTCAAGTCAGTTCGGACTATATAGCAACCCTGTGTAGGGTTTTCAAGGAGTGGTTGGTGAGTTTGAACCACCAACCTTGTGGTTCAAACAGACCTTGTGGTCCAGCGCATTATCCTGCAGCGCCTTGGAAATCCTATGAGGTAGTTCCACTCGGTTCCCTAAGGTCACTGTGAGTTGGAATCAACATGACAGCAATGGGTTTGGTTTAGTTAAGAGTCTTGGGTGGACTTCTGGTGTGGTGCTGTATGATCAGCACTGGACTTTGAACCACTAGGTCAGCAGTTCAAACCCAGCTGCTACTTGAAAACCATATACAGGGTTGCTGTGAGTCAACTTGCACATAGCAACAATAGTGACCTTTAAGGATCATCTTTTAGCAGAGTTATATCAACATCTGAGGTTTGGGCCACTGTGTGCACTGCTGCAGAGTTGAAAGTAGTCAAGGGAAGAATTCGTGCTTTGCATGTTTTCTACCAAGTTGTCTGGTTCATATTCTTTTGTGATATAGTCTTGATCTTTTCTTGCTTCCTCTTTGGTAAAATGCTGTAAGTCTTAACAAGCAATAATTAAAGGATCTGAAAGTTCAAGGAGGAAACAACAGTTAATAAGGTAATAGGGTTTAGGGATTTTTATTTTATACTTGAGCTATTTGCTATACAAATTATTTTAGATGGTCTTCAAAGATGATTTATTTGATCACTTTTGTAGGTGCCTTCAGAAAAACATAAACAGGAAACTTGGAAGGGAATAGCTTGCTACAAGCAAAAGAAGGCAAATATCAGAAAACTGACACTGGAAAGCTGATTAGAAAGATTTCAGTAGCATGTTGCAAAAGAGAGACTTGGTTAATTTGACACTTCATTTTATCCAGGAAAGAAACGACTCAAAGTGATCTCTCCAGTATGGCATGTTGTTGTTATTGTAATGTTTTATGGAGTCAGTTCCGACTCATAGTGACCCTGAACAGGGTTTCCGAGGCTGTAAATCTTTACGATAATAGAAAACCTCATCTTTCTCTTGCGGAACAGCTGGCAGTTTCGGACTGCTGACCTTAATTAAGGTTTACAGCCCGATTTGTAACCAGTACGCTACCATAGCTCCTTCCAGTAGGGCATAGAAAAAGGAAAATCTTTCTCTTAAAGAGGATTGTTAGGCCGTAAGTAATTTGGTTGTGAACTGATTTAAAATTTTATAGATGACTTGTGTAACAGCAATAGATTTTGATCCATAAATACAAATTATTGAACAAATGTACTCAGTAGTGGTTTGTTGTATAATAATATCTAAAATGTCTAATACCTTGCTCGGTGTGCCAGTGACATTAAAGATAACAAAAGTGTCTTATTAAAGTGCACACCTGATAAGCAGAAACATGATTTGCTGTGTTAAATTGGTACTGTGTAGCATTTGTATAATCACATCCATTTAAATACAGGTTATAAGAACAAAGTTAATTAGTTGCTAAAACAGTAGCAGCATATACACTTACATGAACTTTTTATATGGTACTGATGTCAACATTTTATTTGTAGTTTAAAAAAAGAAAAAGGTTTATTTATTTTGGTACAACATCCCTTTAATTTCTGATTGAGTGAAAACATTTGCTACGTCTGGCTCTTCAGTAATTCTTTTTCGTGAGAATGTTTATTTATTTTTAATGTGAATGACTTACATATGATGAATCTTACCCAGAATAGGTTATGCCGTGCAGGAAATAATGTCTTTGCTTTGCTAACCTTGCCTTTCTTTTGTGGGTGGATTGTTATAGCAGGCACAAATTTTTCCACTTCAATAGTTAGTTTTTTTTACCTGTTACTCTGAAAAAGTAAATTTGTTTCTGTTTGTTTACACCCAGTTATTAGACATGATTCATTTAAGATTAAAAATGTGAAACTATAGGGTTGTTAATTTTGTAAATCATATATGCTAACAGTATCTCTTGGAAAGGATGGCATATGCATGGGTCAGGTAAATGCAGCTATCTTTCTTTCATTATGTTTGCATCTGTCATATGATGTTAGAGCAAAACAGTCTCTGTGAAACAGACTTCTTAATACAAAGCTGGCAGTCCCCAGTGTATTTAATATTGTTAGTAGCATGTTCTTCTGTTCGCTCATCTTCCCTCGATCTCTAGATCTTTGAATAATACTGATCTGAAAGTATATTTAAAGACGTTCTTTCTAAATGCATTTTAATGTTCTTATTAATTAGGTACCTTGCATGGTGAATTAAGTGCATTTTGAATAAAAAAAAATTGTTTAATTATTGTACTTTTAATATTTGTAGGCGAAACCTAACCAAACTGTCCCTGATCTTCAGCCATATGCTGGCAGAACTAAAAGGAATCTTTCCAAGTGGACTCTTTCAAGGAGACACATTTCGGATTACTAAAGCAGATGCTGCTGAGTTTTGGAGGAAAGCTTTTGGGGAAAAGTAAGTCTCAAAATCATAAATTTGAGCTATAAAAAACTAAAGCTTATGGATTCTTTGTTGTTGTTTAGTTTTTACTAGTATTTAAAATGCAGGAAAATAATGAACATGTGTATTACCCATACCTCCTTCCAGCTTTAGTAAGTATTAACATTTTTTGCTCTAATTTTTTTTTTTTTAAAGAAATAAAACTTTACAAGTTCAGTTGAAACCCATGCTCCTTGATTAAGTTTTCTCTTTTTCCATCTATTCTGTTCATAGATGTTTACATTTTAAGTTAGTTATCACACAAATAGCTCTGTAGTAAGTAATACTGTATTTATCTTCTTGTGCTCTTGCACAAGAATTTCTCCTTACTTACATCCTTAGGAGAGTAATCGCTGAATTTCATCTTTGCTTTGCTAAATATTGTCTAATTGCTTTCCAAGTGTCTCTACTAGTTTATAGTCCTATAAGTAGTGTTCCTGTAGCTCCAGAGTTTGGTATTATGAATTGATACCATATTTTGCTTTATGGACCCTGATAACAAAGCAGGGAAAGCATCCTTTCACATTTATGATTTGTTAAAAGTCTTATTCTGAGTTGCCTATATATAGTCTTTGTCCATTTGCTTATTGATTTGTTCGTCGTTTTCTTATTGTAGGAGATCTTTCATCTGTTTGGGATACTAATTCTTTGTTAGTTACATACATTATAAATACCTTCTCCTGCCCTATGCCCTTTCCTTCCACTTTGTTATATTTATTATATATACCTTTAGATGCTCAGATGGATGTTTAAAACTGTTTAGACAAATTTATTTCTAAGTATAAATGAAAATGTTCTTAAATATCTTCTGAAATTTTAGATCAAAGAACTGTGAAAATGTAGAAGGCAAAAATCTTCAGTTGAATATACAGATGCTAACTTAAAATTTCTTTCTAAAGGCCTTCTTTATGAAAAAAATTTTATTTAAACAATTGTCTCATATATAAAATATTAGCAAAATTTAAAATCTAGTTGAATAAAGAACTCAAGAAATAGAAATTACACAATATCTCTTTTTGGCCTTGTCTGGGCTTTAATCACTCGTACATTAAGAATGGAATTCCATTCTCCTGTACCTTCAGACTTTTTCTTATTGTCTAGTCCTTATAGGACTCTGGTGTGGCTCTGTAGGGTGAGCACTGGACTGCAAACCCACCAGCTGCCCCTCAGCAGCCTTTTACAGGGTTGTTATGGATCAGAATCAACTCGACAGCACTTAAAGGGGCCTTGGTGGTGCCATGGTTTCAATATTGGGCTGCTAACTGCAAAGTCATCAGTTAAAACCCAGTTCAACCCCACTAGTCACTTAGCAAGAGAAAGACGAGGCTGCCTGCTTCAGTAAAGATTCATGGTCTCAGAAACACTAAGGAGCCATTCTGCTGCCTTTTCAGGTTGACCTGAGGGCAGCAACGGGTTTGGTTATTTGGTTTTGGTCTTTGGTAGTGTGGGTTCCTCAAAAAATACAGAACGCTTTACTATTTTAAATAGGTAGTTTAAATACAAGATAGTAAATAAAGGTCTGGCCACAAGTACATTTATTAGTGTTGATAAGTGCCATCCAGTTGGTTCCGACCCATAGCAACTCTTTATAGGCTTTTCAAGGAGCAGCTGGTAGTTCAAACCAGCTTTTCAGTCCAGCGCATTAACCCACAGTGCCAGTACTATATCATATCTCTCTCTCCAGGTTTCCTTAGTGGGAGAAATGCCTGAAGAAAGATAAGGCAGGGTTAATATAAGACATTTTGCCAAAGAATAAGGGAAAAAGACTTCTCTGTTAGTCATTAGAAAGTTAGGAACTAGCCTTTATTGTTCTTTCTCTTTCTAACCTAAAATATAGCTCAGCTGTTTTAAGAGAATTGAAATTGATATTGCACACTTAATGTGGCTTTTCCTTGACTATGGCAATGCCTGGACTTACCTCTCATCTCCCCTGTGCCTTCTCTCCCACCCTACCTCCACCCCAGGACAATAGTCCCTTGGAAGAGCTTTCGACAGGCCCTACATGAAGTACATCCCATCAGTTCTGGGCTAGAGGCCATGGCTCTGAAATCCACTATTGATTTAACCTGCAATGATTATATTTCAGTGTTTGAATTTGACATCTTTACACGACTCTTTCAGGTAGGATACTAAAGAGTTGAGTACTACTTAAGATAATTTTTTTTAATCAGGAGGTTTTGACTATTATTAAAAAAAAAAAAAAAAAAAGATTAAAACTACCCCTTATGTATTAATGTGTATGAATGTGTGTATATATAAATGTTTTATAAAAATATATGGTCTGCTTTCTTCCCTTCATGTTGTAGTCTTTGTTTTTATTCTTCACTTATATCATTTTAATGATTGTAGTATGTCCAGAAAATAGCTGTAATATATTTAATCAGTTCTCCGTTTGTGGACATTTAGGTATATTTCCAATATTTTTCTCCTATTATATTGAAATTCTTTTCATTGTAAAAAATATATATATATAGTACAACATTTGCCAATTCAACATTTTTCATACATACAGTTTAGTGTAATTAGTGTATACACTCATTTCATTAATCATGTTGTATAACCATTACCCACAAGTATTACTAAGTTTCCTATTAACATAAATTATATATAAATTCTTGACTTAATGTTGAGATGTATCCATACTTAAAAAATAAAACAGAGAACCCCCCCCACAAAAAAAAAACAACCCTCATTTTCTTTTCTAAAATTAGCACTTTCTATGGTGTGTCCATACCAACAGGAATGAAAATTTATTTAGAACCTCTTAGTTACACCATATAGGCCCTGTCCTAGTTTTGTGTTTGGTTGTTGTTGATGAACCTCACTCACTATTATGCTAGGGCTGCTTTCAAATTTCTTGGGTTTCATTTTGTTTTTCTTTGTATTTGTATCTTTTTCTTCTTAGTTTTTCAAAGCTTTTATATTCCAAACATGTCTTTTCCCTCAAAGTGACAATGTAATTAACAATTTATGACAATAAATAAGGTTATCATTGAGAATTGAGGTTATTTGTATTTCCTTTTGTTCTTCATTGCTCAGACGGTAGTTGTATGTGTTGAGCAAAATAGTGTGTGATTGATCTCTTGTTCCCTTAGCCCTGGTCCTCTTTGCTCAGGAACTGGAACAGTCTTGCTGTAACTCATCCTGGATATATGGCTTTCTTGACATATGATGAAGTAAAAGCTCGCCTCCAGAAATTCATTCACAAACCTGGCAGGTCAGTGCTATGAAGCCAAGAGGTTTATTCTCCTGAATTTTATCTTCTGTGACTTCTGTTAAATAGAGGAAACAAGCTCTTTTATTAGTTCCCCACTGGCCAAAAATCTGCAATAGGTTTGATGTCTGTTTATAAGGGGAATTCACTAATCAGATCCTGTGATTTTATAAATGCTTTTAAGCCACTTAAGAATTGGGTTTATGGATCATTTGATTTTGGTCTGGAGTCACTGAAGATGCTTTTCTTGATGTTTCTTTTGATTTTCACTGTGCCATGCTTTCCACCCTATATATTAAAGCTTTTGTTTATCTCTGCTCTCAGTTACATTTTCCGGCTGAGCTGTACTCGTCTGGGTCAGTGGGCTATTGGTTATGTCACTGCTGATGGGAACATTCTCCAGACAATCCCTCACAATAAACCTCTCTTCCAAGCACTGATTGATGGCTTCAGGGAAGGATTGTGAGTAACTGCCATTTACTATGCTAGAGAGTAGAAACGTATGGGCTGTAAAATTTCATCTTTAATGACTTTATTCCTGGTTTCTTCTATAACTTAAGATTCAGGAAACATGCTAGCAGGTTATATTGATTGACCTTCAATTTGGATAGGACTCTCATTTGCATTTAATAAGGATTCCTTGAGTAAAATAATTTTTCTTTACTGCTTCAGTTATTAGAATGAAGAAACTTTTTTTCTTTCTCCTTATTTTTAAGTCTGTGTTAGATTTTAAATATTCCAATCGGCAGAGATTATACAGTTCTTTAACTAGCCAACATTAGAGTAATTCGATGCTCCTAATGACAGCAAACCTAAGTGGTCTCCATCTGCCTTCATTTTAACTTCAGTTTGGTTCAGTAGCATTTCTTCAGACTTTAGGCTTTTGTAATCAATGCTAATGTTTATGAATAATGTTATTATATAATTGCTTTTCCTTTGAGAATTCAAATTGATTAGCAATTGGTAAGCACTGTAAATACTAACAGATGACCAGATATCAGAAAACTAGCTTATGTTTGAAAGTGATTAGGAAAATCTGTTTCCAATTGTTCATATGCTTCTACATTAGTGTGGAGTTGAAAGAGCTGCTGTCCCAAATGTTAGAGCAGTCTGATGCCAGACAGGTTGTCATTGGTGTTAAGTGCCATCAAGTCAGTTCCGACTCAGTACTTACTTAAAGTGCCACACCAAGATTCCACAACCACCTTGGAATCATGGTGTGGCACTTTAAATAAGCACTGGACTGCTAACTGTATAGGATTTCCGAGGAGTGGCTGGTGGGTTTGGACTGCCAAACTTTCAGTTCAAACCGACCTTGCATTCTAGTGCATTATCCTGCACTGCCCCCTATGTTAACAAGTAGTAATAAATTAGCTCTAATAAAGCTCCATGGTTGATTCCTGTTCTTACAGCTATTTGTTTCCTGATGGACGAAATCAGAATCCTGACCTGACAGGCTTATGTGAACCAACTCCCCAAGACCACATCAAAGTGACCCAGGTGAGTTTAATTTTACATTATAACTATGACACCAGATTCATCAAGAGTGAAGCTTTCTACATCTATAAGGGGGCTTCAAAAAGTTCATGAAGAGTTGGAATGAAAAGATAATGGAATTTTCCCTAAAACTTCGTGGAACTCCCTCACACTCTTAGAATTTGACAGTATCATTGTATTGTTTAAAACACTTCAATTTAAAACCATTGACTAAGTTAATGAACTGTGTGCTTCCGAACTGAATAATGTGTGATTTCTTTCTAAACTATGCAGTTCAAAATGGGATCATGATTTACATGCCTTTCAGTTTGATGGGAAAACGTGTTGACATTTTATATATGCAAAATTTCTATAGAAAATTACAGTCTTGAGTTTTCTTTTTCTTTTAGCATTTATGCTTGCATTCTTTCATTCAACAAATGTTTGTAATAGGATGAGTAATCTCTTAATCTTTTTTTTTTCTTTTGAATCAAAGGAACAATATGAATTATACTGTGAGATGGGTTCCACATTCCAACTGTGTAAAATATGTGCTGAAAATGACAAGGATGTAAAGATTGAGCCCTGTGGCCACCTCATGTGCACATCCTGTCTTACATCCTGGCAGGTATGGATTCAAGCCATGTGTTTTCTCAGCTTTGGGAGCGCTTGGAAGAATTGGGTATTGCTATCCTTTACAGATAAAAAGTGTAGCCTGGTTGGTAGATAGATTAGTAATTTTTTGATCTTTAAGAAATGCACTTCCTAGTGGAAGAAAATTTTAAGTACTTTTAGGTGTCTCTGTTACTATCCCTTGCTTCTTCTACAGGAATCAGAAGGCCAGGGTTGTCCTTTCTGCCGATGTGAAATTAAAGGTACTGAACCCATTGTGGTAGATCCGTTTGATCCCAGAGGAAGTGGCAGCCTGTTGAGGCAAGGAGCAGAGGGAGCTCCCTCTCCAAATTATGATGATGATGACGATGAACGAGCTGATGATTCTCTCTTCATGATGAAGGAATTGGCAGGTGCTAAGGTAAGACTACAATTGAAGAAATTGACAAAATTCATTGTAAGTTGTGTTAAAAAAGCAGTAGAGCACTTAGTGGGATCCAGACTATAAGTAATAATTTAATAACTGATTTTGCTATGTGACAAATATCATGCTAAAACTCATAATCTTTACAGCAACCTTATGAGTCAGTATATTATTATCCTCATTTAACCGGTAAAGCAGTACGCAGAAAGGTAAAGGAATTTCCTGAAAATCATTCTGATTTCAGAGTCCATCTTACTTTCTGCACCCTAGGACTAAGGCTTCGCTGGGATAGCTTGCTGGGGAAAAGGATCGGGAATAAAAGAACTGGTCCCTGGGGCGGGGCTTGATGGTGACTAGGGTGGAGGTGCAGTGAAGTTCGCCGACAGCCATACCACAGAATACCAGGCAAAGCTGATCCAGGGCAAAGCCCCAAAACTCAGAACCACAGAGTTAGGAATATTTTAGAAGTTTGAAGGCTTATAGCTAGTGGAACTTGAAGCTGAAGTAAAAAATCGCATACTTTTGAATCTGCCGGGCTCGGAGGCCTGGAGCGAACAGCTTGGGCAAGACCAAATGGCAAGACCAATAGGGGGAGCAGAAACACCTTGGAAAAAATGCTGGGGGAACCTTGGAGCAAAGTCTAGGAGCCGAGATCCCTGGAACCATCAAAGGGAGAAGAGTGGAATGCGGGACCCTACACAGAGAAGCAAGGGACTCTGGTAGAGTAGTGGTTACGAATTGGGCTGCTAACCTCAGGGTCAGCAGTTCGAAACTGTTCGAAACCAGCTGTTCTGTGGGAGAAAGATGAGGCTGTCTGTTCCCGTAAAGATTTACAGCCTCGGAAACCCTGTACAGGGTCGCTATGAGTCGGAACCGACTCCACAGCACATAACAACAACAATAACCCAGAGAAGCAGTGACGTCAGAGATGGAGGCAGAGACGATGTGGAAAGATGGAACAGCTGAGGATTTTAGACTCAGAGAGGGAGAGGGGCTGTGTGCTTACAACCAGAGCCAGGCTTGTAGTGTGTACCCTTTGTTTGGTTGATGATGCATGGAGGGGATTGTAACCATGGCAATGAAATGATACATGATAGGATGAATGTAAAGCTAATGGTCTCCCATGTAAACTATCACATAATTCACAATAAAACATTTAAAAAAAAAAAAGAAAAGAAAAAAACTGGGTCCTGTTTTGCTCTTGGGATTAGAATATGTTGATCTTGCCCTTTTCTCATTGGAGTCCTGGCATAAGAAAGTTAAATTGGAAGAGAGGAAAGGGGGTACTGTTAATAACCACTTAAGTAGTAACTAAAGTGATTTCAGCAAGCTAGGTGCTACCATGTGGAAACTAAACAAACTAGAAGGCCTTAGCAAAGATAGGAAAGGTAAAGGCAAAAAGAAGATGCAGTCACATTCTGTGACATCAGAGAGTAGGATGAAATGGAGATTTCTTAATAAATCCTAGAACTAAGGCAGTTCTTAAAGTGTCATAAGCAGGATAAACAAAAGGCTGTAATATGTTACAGATCCTATAGTTTAGTTTGATAAATTCCTGGGACACAATTCCTTATTATAAAACAAACTTTATTATCAGCACCTGACTCCCAGACATACATTAGAAGCTTTATAAAATATGGGTTTTACCTCTTCACTGGTTTGGCCAGTGTATCTCCACCCCTGTCTCTAATGTCGCTGCCCTATTGCAAGCTTCTCATCATCTGTTTTCCCTACAGCACAAACAAAACCACCTCATCCTTTTGCCTTGTACTCTTGGATGGCTTCTCATTATCTGCTGGGTTAAGTCCACTCTCCTCTGCCCTGATTGCCTCTCCACTTTGTGTTGTATGGTCCAACAAGGCTAAACCACTGTGGTTCAATGAGTTATTTCATATGGCTCTTAATAGCCTTTGTACTTCTAATCTTTGTAACTCTCACCAAATGACTTGGTTGTTGTTTTGTTAAGGGCTATGAAGTCATCAAGAGTGTTTCTGAGGAGCAACTGGTGGATTTGAACTGCTGACCTTGCGATTAGCAGTACAGTGCTTATCCTGTAGCACCACACAGGACTCCAAATGACTGGATAGGAATATGCAAGTGTGAGATGGCTTGTGATTCACCAAGAAAATTGTATAGTTTGCTAATGCTGTAAACAAGGTGCATGGCATCCTTGTGGCGGTGTGCTGTTGAGTTCGTTCTGACTCATGGGGTTTCTGAGGCTGTAAGTCTTTATGGGAGCAGAAAGTGGGACCCTGCAAATAAAACTTATGGAACCTTAATATGGGGATTGGTCAGTTTTACTATCCCCATTAGGCTTATAATGAGCCATCCACAAGCCAAAAGGAGAGATAATCTCATTACCATTCAGAAAGAAGAGCCAGGAGTGAAGCACATCTTTTAGACCTGAGATGCCCGCACTTGACCTCCTTGACCAGAGACAGTGAGAAAGAAATGATAGCAGCAGAGGCAGTAGAACCAAGAGTGGTAGACTTCCTAGCTCCTGAAGCACCTTTGGGCAGAGCTGTACTAGTAGAGTGGGGTTCCTCTGTGCACTTAATCAGCAAAGTTCAAAGAGCTTTGAACATTTGCATGACTGACTAATTTCACTCAGTGAAGTTAGTCAGTCAGAGAAATGTCATTTCTTTGTTCCACATAATTTTCTGCACTGAGTTAATTTGTTTGTGAGTTTTCATTTTCATTTCTATTGTGTTAATGTTTTCTCAGTCTTTCTGATTTTTTTTTTTTTAATTTTGATTTGAAGATATATTAACTTTCTTTGAGGCTACCCTCTAGTGTATTAATCTACTCCCCTGAATTAAAACAGCCAGCTTTATCTTGAAATCTACTTGATTTCTTTGCCATTTGGAAGTTCTGTATCTACACTATTTCCTCTTTTTATTTGTAGTTGACTTCATTATTCATTGATATCTCTGGTTCCTACTTTTAGCTTGTAGGTTTGTTTTACTTTAAATACTTACACATCTGGATTGAGTTCTGGGTGGTGTTGTCACGTATGTTAAGCTTAGGTTGTTGTCTGTTGTTGTTGGTTCTCAGTCCAAAGAACATCCTTTAGTATTTTTCATAAAATTGGTCTGGTTGTAAATTCCTTTAATTTCTTTTTACCTGGAAATGCCCTGATTTTGACATTTGTATTTGAGGGTCAGTAATAAAATGAGAAAATAATAAAGGAAATAAAAACCAGCCCTAACCAAAAAAAAAAAAAGGAATGTAAATAATAGAAAAAAAAGGACAAGAAAATGAAGCTATAAATGAGAAAACAAAAGGAAGAAATTTAAAAAAAAGCCAGGGAGAGGGAGTATGAAAAAGGGTAGAGAGTAGTAAAGAAACAGAAATGAGAAAACAGGGAAATGAAAAACAGAAGAAAAGAAGGAAAAACAAAAGCAGATAAAAGAAAATTCAAGGGAATGGAAAAATATGGAAAAGAGGAAAGAATAAGCAAACAAAAACAATTAAACAAGGAAAGGAAAAAGCCAAAACCATAACAAACCAGTGTAGCTGTTAGACTCAGAGAGGAGAAACTCTTTGGGTCTCTTGCCTGCCCAGGATCTCACTAGGGTACAGAAGGAATGTGAGTGACAGCAGAGTTCCTGGCCCTAGGTGGACTTCCTCTAGGCCTAGGTGTTATCTGTATTCTGGGCGCTCAATATGGAAGTAGTTCATGGAGGCCCTTGATGGAGTTGGTTTTCAGTGTCTGTTAGGACCACAAGGCAGCTGGGGCAGGGTGGCTAGTTATGAGAGTTTCTGCTAGACTAATGCTAGTCTGGTGGATCTTTGAGTTCTGGAGGTCTGGAGGTGAGCCCACCTGAATCCAGGCATCAAAGCAGCGTAGCCGTCCCCTGCCTCATACTGGTTTGACTCAGAACCACCGAGACTCTGAACTCCTGGAGAGCAGGGTCTACACTGATGGTACCCACTCCTCTGGTCATCAGGGGTACATGGGGAAAAAGAAGGAATCATACTTTTCCCCTTGCCTGTGTGAATTTGCTCTGCCAGACCACCTTCTGTCATCAAGGCTGCTCACAATAGTTCAAGATGGTCACACTACATCTGGTCATCTGTTCACCAGTCAGTCTCCTTCTCTTGCCATCCCTGCTCAGCTTCTCCTTCCAGCAAGCACTGAATCCTCTTCTCTGACCTTTCCTCTGAAGTTCAGGGTTCCAGTGTTTCCCATCTGTGTGAGTTTCATTTGGTCAGTGGGATCTTTGTTGTAGAGGGCCCCTGTAGTGCATCTGCCTAGTCTGCAATCTTGCCAGAAGTTCTCTAATTTACATTTTAAAGCAACTTGTAGCATACTATGTATATGATGGCTTCATTTCTATAAAGAAATTCTAAATGTATAAAAGTATTTAACATATGTAAAGACAAAGTCAAATATTACAACAAAACGTACAAAGATCTGGAGTCAGAAAACCAAAAAGGAAGAACATGCTCAGCATTTTTCAAGCTGGGAGAACTGAAGAAAAATTCAAGCCTTGACTTTTGTTATTGAAGGATTCTCTGGGCAAATTATTGAATGATGCAGAAATTTATCAAAAGAAGATGGAAGGAATATACAGAGTCACTGTACCAAAAGGAAATGGTTGATCTTCAAGTGTTTCTAGAGGTAGCATATGATCAAGAGCCAATGATCCTGTAGGAAGAAGTCCAAAGTGCATTGAAGGAATTAGCAAAGAACAAGGCACCAGGAATTGATGGAATAAAAACTGAAATCTTTCAAGAAAGTGAGGCAGCACTGGAGACATTCACTCTTCTATGCCAAATTTGGAACACAACTAACTATCTGGCCAACTGATTGGAAGAGATCCATATATGTGCCCATTCCAAAGAGAGATGACCCAACGGAATGCGTAAATCATCGGACAATATCTGTAATATCCCATGTGAGTAAAGTTTTACTAAAGGTAATACAGATACGGCTACAAGCATACATTGACAGAGAACTTCCAGAGGTTCAAGTTGGATTCAGAAGAGGACAT